TCAACCACAGCCACAATCCATACAACAATCAGTGTTCGCTGTTCACGTGTCTGGGACCAGCTAGGGTTTGGATGGGTAGGTATGCTGACCTCGGCTGGATATGCTCATGGGTCTAGGTGTTGGCTGGTAATGCCCTTAGCTGAAGTGACTGGGGCAACTCAACCTCATTCCTAAGTCATCTGTCCTGTATCAGACTGACTCAGGTATCGTCTCAGTGATGGCAGAGATGCAGGAGAGCAAGTGCACGTAAAGCCTCTTAAGCTTGCAATTAATATACCATTATTCTCTGCCTTCTGTTGGCCAAGCAGGTTACAAATCTTACCCAGGTTCATAGGAGGTGAAGTCAGCTCCCTGCTTCCCTCCCTACCTTCTACGAGGGTAGAAGCAAAGGATTAGCAAATCTATTACTGCAGGCTTCCGTTAGGGTCACAAAACGGAGAAGTGTGTGTGTGTCTGTGTGTGTGTGTGTCTATGTGAAACAGTTGAAGCATTTAACACACACATGGAATATTTGTGAAAGTGCAGATTCTAAACTAAGCCTGTTAAATCTCTAAAAGCATGACTCAGAATCTGGTTTTTATAAGCCCTTCAGTTTATTCTGACGATCATAAAAAGTCTGCTAACTATTATTTTAAGGGATCAGGCCCTATGTACACAAGTCAGATGGGTTTTCATTTTGCATTTGAAGGTAAATACTGGAACAAGAAGTATTTTACATTTAGACATGAATATGAATCTCTACTCCTCCATCCAGAACATGTATCCAAACTTTATCCTGCTTCTGAAAGGCCAAGTGGCCAGGGTGAAAGAGAAGGTAATACTACCACCCTCTAGTGGTGGTTTGTGGCAACACAACAGAGCAATAACGCACTAAATGTGTACCGTAATCCTGGAGGAGAAAGCGACAACCCACTCCAGTCTTCTTGCCTGGAAAATCTCACCAAGAGAGGAGCCGGGCGGGTTGCAAATCCATGGGATCTCGAAGAGTCAGACATGACTTAGCGACTTAGCATATAAAGCCATAAAGCAAAGACATTTTTTTTCCACGTCCAATGTAGCCGAATGCAAGACAGCTGATAAAAGCTAATGTGAGTTATTCCTCACTGCTTGACAGTTTAATCTATTACTACCAGGGCATGGCTGGGTAGCTGTTTTCATTGAGCTCAAGTTATTAATTTTCAGCTCAGTTTTAAAATCCGTACTCTTTTTAGCCAGTAGAATATGACAACATTGAAGGAGATTTACAGTTTGCAGCTGGATGTCAGGGTAGAATTTACTATTCTTGCTTAAAAAGAAGATATTTTAAGTGCAGAACCACTTTGAAGTCATTTTGAATAATTGTATTATGAAAAGTACTGGTGAATGTTTTCTTGCAAAGATTTTCCTTGAAAGAGCTCCACATTATATACGAGGGTTTCTCAACACTGCACAGTTGACGCTGGGGGCCAGGAAATTCTCTGCCGCGAGGGCTATTCTGTGCACGTCAGGCGTTTAGCAGCATCCTTAGCCTCCACCCACTAGATGCCAACTGCACCACTCAATTGAGACAACCTAAACTGCTTCAGAGGCGAGCTCAAGTTGGTTGGACTTCTATGTCTGGGCAGGAGTACTGATTTAACTCTCTTTCTGACTTTACTTCCTATGTGTAGATAGGCATGTCCCACTTAATTCCAATAATTTCATTTCTGAAAATCAGACTTTATGGTATTAATACAAGAACATTCACAGAAAGTGCAGTTCACATTATTTTAAAGTATGAAAATTATATAAGGCTGCATATTCATCCCAAACTCTGAGCCAACTTCTTGAAATGTAAACACATCCAAATACTACGTATAACAAATAAACTGTCTATGAGGATGGAGGGCACACAAAACATGGCGGAGTAGAAGGATGTGCACTCATCTTCTCCTGTGAGAACTCCAAAATTACAACACACTGCTGAACAACCATCGACAGGAGAATGTTGGATGCAACCGAAAAAAGATACCCCATGTCCAAGGGCAAAGGAGAAGCCCCAGCAAGGTGGTAGGAGGGGCAAAATCACATTTAGAATCAAACCCCATACCCGCCAGAGACGCTCAACAAAAATGCAGGGGGGCTCAAACAAAACCTTGTGTGCACCAGGACCCAGGGCCCCCACAGAGACCCACAAACTGCAGAACAATTATACCAAATAAATTCTCACACTGTTAAGAAAGTTCTAGGACCCACAACAGATTTCCCAACCTGGGGATCTGGCAAAGGGACTGACAACCCCCAGGGAATTTGATTTTGGAAGCCAGTGGGATTTGATTCCAGAACTCACACAGGCCTGGGGAAACAGACTCTTGGAGGGCGCAAACAGAACCTTGTGCACCAGGACCCAGGAGAAAGGAGCAGTGACCCCACAAGAGACTGACCCAGACTTGCCTGTGAGTGTCCAGGAGTCTCCGGTAGAGGCGTGGGTCAGCGTTGGCCTGCTGCAGGGTCAGGGGCGCCAAGTGCAGCAGTGCTTCACGGGACTTTTTGAAGGAGGCCATTATCTTCTTTACCCCCACCATAGTTTGGTCTCAGGTCAAATAACAGGAGGGGAACACGGCCCTGCCCACCAACAGAAAATTGGATTAAAGATTTACTGAGGATGCCCCGCCTATCAGAACAAGACCCAGTTTCCCCCACAGTCAGTCTCTCCCATCCATAAGCCTCTTATCCTTATCAGAGGGCAGACAGAATGAAAGCCACAATCAGAGAAAACTCACATGCACCACAGCCTTGTCTAACTCAAGGAAACTATGAGCCATGCCATGTAAGACCACCCAAGACAGTGGTGGAGAGTTCTGACAAAATGTGGTCCACTGGAGAAGGGAATGGCAAATCACTTCAGTATTCTTGCCTTGAGAACCCCATGAATAGCATGAAAAGGCAAAAAGATAGGACACTGAAAGATGAACTCCCCAGGTTGGTAGGTGCCCGATATGCTACTGGAGAAGAGGGAGAAATAACTACAGAAAGAATGAAGAGGAGCCAAAGCAAAAACAGCACCCAGTTGTGGATGTGACTGGTGATGGAAGTAAAGCTGGATGCTGTAAAGAACAACATTGCATAGGAACCTGGAATGTTAGGCCCATGAATCAAAGTAAATTGGAAGTGGTCAAACAGGAGATGGCAAGAGTGAACATTGACATTTTAAGAATCAGTGAACTAAAGTGGACTGGGATGGGTGAACTTAATTCAGATGACCATCATATCTACTACTGTGGGCAAGAATCCCTTAGAAGAAATGGAGTAGCCCTCATAGTCAACAAGAGTCCAAAATGTGGTACTTGGATACAATATCAAAAATGACAGAATGATCTCTGTTCATTTCCAAGGCAAGCCATTCAGTATCCCAGTAATCCAAGTCTATGCTCTGACCAGTAATGCTGAAGAGGCTGAAGTTGAACAGTTCTGTGAAGACCTACAAGACCTTCTAGAACTAACACCCAAAAAAGATGTCCTTTTCATTATAGGGGACTTGAATGCAAAAGTAGGATGTCAAGATATACCTGGAGTATCAGGCAAATTTGGCCTTGGNAAGCACAAGCTGGAATCAAGATTGCCAGGAAAATATCAATAATCTCAGATATGCAGATGACACCACGGTTATGGCAGAAAGCAAAGAAGAACTAAAGAGCCTCTTGAAAGTGAAAGAGGAGAGTGAAAAAGTTGGCTTAAAACTCAACATTCAAAAAACTAAGATCATGGCATCCGGTTCTATCACTTCATGGCAAATAGATGGGGAAACAATGGAAACAGTGAAAAGTGAAAACTTTATTTTCTTGGGCTCCAAAATCACTGCAGATGGTGACTGCAGCCATGAAATTAAAAGACACTTACTCCTTGGAAGGAAAGTGATGACTAACCTAGACAGCATATTAAAAAACAAAGACATTACTTTGTCAACAAAGGTCTGCCTAGTCAAGGCCATGGTTTTTCCAGAAGTCATGTATGGATGTGAGAGTTGGACTATAAAGAAAGCCGAGCACTGAAGTATTGATGCTTTTGAACTGTGGTGTTGGAGAAGACTCTTGAGAGTCCCTTGAACTGCAAAGAGATCCAACCAGTCCATCCTAAAGGAAATCAGTCCTGAATATTCATTGGACAGACTGATGCTGAATCTGAAACTCCAACAAAGAGCTGACTCATTGGAAACGACCCTGATGCTGGGAAAGGTTGAAGGCAGGAAAAGAAGGGTTCATTCAACAGAGGATGAGATGTTTGGATTACAGCACCAACTCGATGGAGATGAGTTTGACCAAGCTCCAGGAGTTGGTGATGGACAGGGAAGCCTGGCATGCTGCAGTCCATGGGGTCACAAAGAGTCGGACACAACTGAGCAACTGAAGCAAAGAACTGACTCATTGGAAACGACCCTGATGCTGGGAAAGATTGAAGGCAGGAAAAGAAGGGTTCATTCAACAGAGGATGAGATGTTTGGATTACAGCACCAACTCGACGGAGATGAGTTTGACCAAGCTACAGGAGTTGGTGATGGACAGGGAAGCCTGGCATGCTGCAGTCCATGGGGTCACAAAGAGTCGAACACGACTGAGCAACTGAACTGACTGACTGAATGCCTCTGGAGCTTGGCCGGCGACTCCATCTGCAACTCAGGAGCCGCAGGAGATGTGAGTTTGATCCCTGGGGTAGGAAGATCCCCTGGAGGAGGGCATGAGAACCCACTCCAGTATTCCTGCCTGGAGAATCCCACGGACAGAAGAGCCTGGTGGTCTACAGTTTATAGGGTCGCAAAGAGTTGAACACGACTGAAGCGACTTAGCAAGCATGCATGCATGCACGCACAAACTGTCTCCAGACATTGCCAGCTGTCCCCTGGGGAGGGAAGGCAAAATTGCCTCCAGCTGGGAACCATCTCCGCTGTAGGGCTTTATATACCAGGAAATACGGTAATTGGCATCCTTTAGGAGGCTGCCAGGCCCACAACAGGTCACAGCATTGGAGGAAACAGGGTGAAGCCAATGACAGCCTGCCACACCGTGGGCCCCGACCTGTCTCTGAGCGGTATGGGATGTTCCTGGTCCCGAAGCTTAAACTGCACATTAGCTCAATATTTGTCACCAACTAGCGCAAACAGAGACTGGAGGAACCAGGAAAGAAGGGTCGCTCCGTGTTTGTAGAAGGAGAGCAATGTGATTCCAGAGGTGAATTGCACACGGGAGGGCAAAGCGACGTGAGCCTGGAACTTGGCACAGGGTTCCCTGAAATATAACAGCTTCTTTTGGTCAGAAGGGGAAGTTCAGTTGCCAAGACGTGCTGCCGTGTTGTGCAGAGAGGACTGCCGCTGAGCCGAGGGTAGCATCCACATTCCTGCTCCGACCCTGAGTTGGTGACGCAGGACAGGGTGGAACAAGGCGGCCGCCACGTCTCTTGTCTTCTTAGCTGTGCTTCGGTTTGCATTCCCCTGTAGCCTGTTGGTTGTGGTGCTCAGTCGCTGAGTTGTGTCCGACTCTTTGCGACCCCATGGCCTCCAGCATGCCAGACTCCCCTGTCCTTCACTATCTCCCGGAGTTTACTCTGATTCACGTCCATTGAGTCAGTGATGCTGTCTCACCTGAAGCCTGCCTTCCCTCTCTGTCATCCTCTATCATCCTGGGATGGTTGGTCTTTTGTTCCCAAATAAAAGGTCCCTGAAAGGCCTTCAGATGTTCTCAGAATGAGGTGCGACATCCAGAAGTATCTCAGTAGGACCAATGAGAGCTGTATGCCAACACTTTCTGGTGAGCTGGCTGCCTGCATTCAAACCTGGTCCCCACGTTTCCCTGCTGTGTGACCTCAGGCAAGCTGCTTGATGTCTCTGGGCCTCTGCTATCTGTAAGATGGGAGCAGATGGCAGCAACAGCAAGGGGACCTATGCCCAGCACTCGGTGAGGACTATTCCTCTCTCATGACAGTTCATTGGGCCAAGCCCACTTACCCAGTAAGCAGTGGACTTGAGGATTGAAATTAGATTTTCTGACTCCAGATCCTGGGTTCTCAACCTTGCCATATGCTGGAACCACTTGGGGGGCTTCTGAGGCCCGGATCCCACGGAAGTTACCACCTCCTTGGTCTGGAGAGCAGCCAGGTGTGGATGTTGTTGAGGATCTCCAGGTGATTTGAAGATGCCACCTTATGACTCAGGTCCAATTAAACAAGAGTCAAGCTCGGGCAGAATCTGACCTCCCAGGGCTGGCTTTTCTCACCGAGCACAATGTCCTCCAGGTTCATCCATGGTGCAGCCTGTGACAAGATTTCCTCCTTTGTACCTGAATAATATGCCATCCTATGGAAAACACCCTGTTTCCTTTCTCCACTCATCTTTTGACAGGCATTTAGATGGTTTCCACCTCTTGATGATGCTTACGTGAGGTATTTTTAAAGTTGTCAGATTCATAGAAACAGCAAGTGGAAGGGTGGTTGCCAAGGACTTGGGGAGGGGACTGGAGAGGGGTGTGGGGCTTTGCTGTTCAGTGGGTACAGTTTCAGTCCTGCAAGATAGAAGAGCTCTAGAGAGGCTTTCCAACATGGTCCTTACAGGTACATTTATTGCTATTCAGTCTCTAAGTCATGTCTGACTCTTTTGCAATCCCATGGACTGTAGCCTACCAGGCTCCTCTGTCCATGGGATTTCCCAGGCAAGAATACTGGAGTGGGCTGCCATGCCCTCCTCCTGGGGATCTTCCCAACCCAGGTATCAAACCCAGGTCTCCTCCTTTGGCAGGTGGGTTCTTTACCACTGAACCACCAGGGAACCCAGCTGTGCAGTTGTGTTCACTTAAAACTTTGTTGGGACTTCCCTGGTGATCCAGTGGTTAAGAATCCGCCTTCCAGTGCAGAGGATGTGGGTTTAATCCCTGATCAGGGAACTAAGATCCCATATAACCCTGGAGCAACTAAGCCCCGCAACTAGAGAAACCTGCACACTGCAATAAACAGCCTGGGCTGAAACGAAAGATCCTGGAAGCTGCAACTAATACCTGATGCAGCCAAGTAAATATTTTTTTTAAAAAAGCAAACAAAACTCTTTATGAAGAGGGTAATTTCATGATATGTGCTTTATTTTTTTTACCACAACTTAAAACACACACACACACATCAAACAGGAAGTTCAGGAGAGTGCTGAAGGCTCCAGGGTGGGCAGAGGCTGAAAACAGGGGCGACTGAATCAGAAGGGCTTCCTGAAGGAGGCGGAAAGTGTGGACCCGCCTCCTTGGAGCAGCTGCTGGAGTGAAAGTCTTCCCCAAGGGATTAATGGGAGAGTTGGGCTGCCAGGAGGTCCCAGCCAGGATCTGGAGCCTTCAGCGTGAACTGCAGACAGCCAGCCTCTGCTGGAGAGTTGCCTCCGCTTGCTGGCAAGGTGTGGCCTGCAGACTCCCGCCTCCCAGCAACCCCCCTTCCTTCCCCACGGTGAGTTAAGGGCAGTAACAGGCGTGTTTATTTAAAGGACTGATGACTCAGCCTCCAGTTCCAGCCTCCGTTTTGCTTGGCTTGTTTTCTGGCAGAGGAAGCAGAGAACCAGTGGGCAAAATGTGTGATTTGCCAGATTTTGCCAGCAGCTCAACTGGTTTCAAATTTAGCCTAAATTTCTGTCTCCTGCTACTTGAAAGGGTTTTCCATGTGGCACAGTAGTTAAGAACATGCCTGCTAATGCAGGAGACACAAGAGACCTGGGTTCAATCCCTGGGTTGGGAAGATCCCCTAGAGAAGGACATGGCAACCCACTCCAGTATTCTTGCCTAGAGTATTCCATGGACAGAGGAGTCCATGGGGTTGCGAAGAGCTGAATACAACTGAGTGACTAAGCACACATGCTCATGAAAAAGCATTTACAATTTGGTGGCAGGGGGGTGGGAGGGTGGAGTTCTTAAAGTCTAAGTCCAGCGACTGGCTGCCTTGGCATTCCCTGGGGAGCATGTTGAGAATACAGATTCCTGGGCCTTGCCCCAGACTTGTGGAGTGGGGCCCTCAAGGTCCCACTCAAGGGGTGGAGGCCCTGGAATCTATTAATGAGTTCTTGAGGAATCTGGACCAAACGGTCAGTGGATCACAACTGGGAATATCTCATGGGATGCTTAACCCTGTAAACTAAGCCAGACAACTGGTTGTGGTCCAGCTCACCTAAACTTCTTTTCTTCTCTGATGGTTCTCTGCTTTGTCCACTGATCGGGATAAGCAAACCTAAGGGGTGGTTTGAAAATGCAATAACCTGACTTCAATGTAGTCCAACCCCAAATGATAAAGTTTAAAAAGAAAGGAAATCTCACTTCATGGTCTGTGTGTGCTAAGTTGCTTCAGTCTTGCCCGACTCTTTGCAGCCCTATGGACTGTAGCCTGCCCAGGCTCCTCTGTCCATGGGATTCTCCAGGCAAGATTACTGGAGTGGATTACCATACCCTCCTCCAGGGGATCTTCCTGACCCAGGGATCAAAACCGCATCTCTTAAGTCTCCTGCATTGGCAGGGGGAGTCTTTACCACTAGCGCCACCTGGGAGGTTTACAAAATTCCCATTAATCATACTGACATGTGTTGCTTTCTTTCTGACCATTCCCTTTCCTTTGGTAACGACACCCCAAACCCCTTTTGGAATCATCTCTACCTGCCAGTGGGCAATTAGGTAGGCATGTCGATCTATCAAGGTGTCTCGTGACCCGAGCCAGGTCCATGGACACTTCTCTCTAGACTCTCCTAGGCTCATGAGTGTGGGAAACACAACCCTCAAGAAGCTACCTTTTACGGTCTCCATTAGCTCCTGTCCTTTGATTCTCCACTGTGGCCCCTTTGGAGCCATCTCTAGCTGACAGCACAGTTCTGTGGGCTACCTCAGGCTCCTCCCATAAATGCTTTTGTTGCTGAAATTCTGGTCCACTAGACCATGGGTTCCCAACCTCCGGAATCTAATGCCTGATGATCTGAGGTGGAGCTGATGTGATAGTAATAGAAATCAAGTGCACAATAAACGTAATGTACTCGAATCATCCTCAGACCATCCACCACCTCTCCCCACCAGTCCATGGAAATATTGTCTTCCACCAAACAGGCTCCTAGTGCCAAAACGTTGGGGACTGCTGCACTAGACAATGCTGAAGTGTCTCTCTTCATCTTTGTCTGCATACTGCTGGAAAGTTCTGGAAGGCTATGTCCTCTTTGGATTTGTCATGGGGTTGGGGGAGGAGCTAGGTGGGGACCAGAAAGTGTGTGCTGTTTATTTTGCCACTTTCATCACAGACAACAAAGGGTAAGTTGACTTCAACACTACGGAGAAGGGGCGTGACTGCCCCCTGGTGGCCATTGCTCCAAATTGTTCGTTCAGGTTTTGAACGAACAGGTCTTCAAGATGAAGGGATGAAATTTGTGAAATTGAATGTGGGCGGTAAACTGCAAACATTCCAAAATCTCAACATTTAACCATTGACCTGGACTCTATGCATCTCTATATTCAATTACAGTCTCAATCAGAAAGCAAAGTAATTTGGTTTGGTCCGGTCAGATAAAAAGTCTTTTTTTTTTTTTTTCCCGAATTGGATATTCCTCAGAGAAAAGAAATCATTACAGGGGTCCTTTTGTGGCCATTCTACATTTCCTTCTGCCTTGCTATTTCTTCCTGGAGGAAGAAGGGTGTGTACATTTATTTTGTCATCCTTAATAGCTGCGGGGCAGAGTAACTGAACCCCGAGGCTGGTATGTGCATTGATGTTTCCCAGGAAAGAATTTATTCTTCAGTTCCTCTGCCTCTGGAGATGACTTCCCAGTCTCAGCTGCTGTCATGTTGCCCTGACCATTGCCATAGCCTTTTAAAAAAAGTTATTAATCTATTTATTTCTGGCTGTTCTGTTGCTGTACGTGGACTTTCGCTAGTTGCGGCGAGCCAGGGCTACCCTTGGTGGCAAAGCACGGGCTGCTCATTGCAGGGGCTTCTCTTGTTGCAGAGCACGGGCTCTCAGCCGTGTGGGTTCAGTAGTCGCGCTTGTGGGCTCTAGAGCTCGGGCTCAGTAGTTGGGGTGCATGGGCTTAGTTGCTGTGC